AATATATTAACCCTCACTCTCATTAAAAAATTAAAGTTGAAAATTTAAAAACATCACCTTTTAATGAATGAAAACTTATATTTTTTAATATCTATAATTATTTCATTAAAAAACTTATAATTTTAATATATATTTAATAATTTTAAATTTTATATAATTATTGAAATTACTTAAATATATTCAACTAATTTAAATTAGTAAGAAATATTCTGCCTTTTCAGAAAGACGACCAAGACTACAAGTATAAAGCAAGTCAACAAACCAATTAAGGGCTTGCTGCCACTAGCCAGTCAATAACGAGTTTTCGGCCCTGACTCACCTTTTCGCCTATATATAACACAACTCTGTCTCCTAATTTAAAAAACAAAAACACAAGATTCAGGGCAAAAAATTATGCAGATGAAATTGTTGTTGGGGATGGTGGTGATGATTGTCATATTGCCATCTTCTACCGTTACAGTACGTTCAAATATTTCTTTAGAAAACTGCCCGCAAACATGTGGAGACGTTAGCGTTCCTTTCCCTTTTGGATTTGGTCGTCCTGAATGCGCCAAAAACTCATCCTTCCTGCTTGAATGCAACCAGAGCAGCAGCCTCTTGTACGGCAACATTCCAATTAACAACATATCATTGGAAGACGGCACCATCACCGGAATCATTTACGCTGTTTCCTACAATTGCCACAGGCAAAAAGGTAGATCACGATCGGTTAGAAATTTCAAGCAGCAGCATATCAGACTCGACAGATGGATCATATCCCCCACCTACAACAAGGTTATTGGCTTGGGCTGCAACAATATGGCCATAGTGGCCGACAGAGACGGAGCTCTCGGAAGTGCGTGCGTCTCCTTCTGCAATGACAGTGCCGACATCAGGATCGATGGTTCTTGCTCCGGTCTTGGATGCTGCCGGACCTCCATCCCCAAGCACGTCGACCAAGTGAACATTTCGGCTTTCACTATTAGTTTGAATAACAGAAGCGTTCCGGACGTTAGCCCCTGCAATTATGCTTTTGTGGTTGCAAATTCCTTCAATATATCGAAAATAAACCCCCTTGGTCAGTGGGAAACTGTTCCATTGCAGCTGCCTGTGGTGTTTGAATGGGTGATCGGAGATCACCAGGGCTGCCAAGATTATTGCGGCCTTAATGCTGAATGCTCTCACTCCGACGCTGGTGGTGGATTTCGTTGTTTGTGCAAGCCAGGGTTCATCGGAAATCCCTACCTCCCACTAGGATGTCAAGGTACTACATATTTACAATTAATGTTTTTGGAAAATTCTTTTATAGTATGTTTTACCATATTTTTCTTTATTATATAGTAAAAATTTAATTTTAAATTTTATATAAATAAAAATATTTTAATAAAATTAATTATAATTATATCAAAAATTTCTAGATAAGCTATTTGATTTGATTCAAATTAGATCACTGCACCTGGGTAAAAAGAAAGCTAGGATTGGATAATATTGATTTAATAGATTGGAGAAGCAATCCTTTGAGTTTGAAACATAGGAGGCCAACATCCTGAGGAAAATATTTGGATATGTGTCGTTAGCAAGTATATTCATAACATTTAATATAAATGGTAAGAATAACTCTTATACTCCAAAAATAATAAAAATAAATTATCTTTACCTTTCAAAAAAAATTTCTATAATCTTCATAATACCCTTTTATGATATACTAGTTAAAATATTACATTTTTATCAATTAATATAACTTAAATAAATTATTATAAAATTAAAACTAACAATTAAAACTCTCTCTTCATTTTTCTCACTACATTGTTTATCATTAGAAATGAACATATTTTGTTTAATTCTAAATTACTTAATATTTAAAATTATTATTTTTTGGTTTGATTAATATAATTAAAGTTAACTAAAAATCAAAAAAAAATTTGACTTAAAAAGATTAAAATTTTTGATTAATTGCATAAACTATATTAATAAAAAAAATCAAAATCAGTAATTAAAACTAAAATTTTGAATTATGTTCAAGTATTAAAATAAAAATCATTAATCAAATAGTAAAAAAAAGGAGAGGGACAGTTTTATTTATTTTTATTTTTTTAATTTTAATATTTATTTAATTAAAATTAATAAGTGTTTAATATTTTAGTTATTTGTCAAAAAAAGGTATTTTAGACCTTTCAAAAAACCCTAATACACTTATATAAAATTTAATTAGAGTATTTTCACTTATACAAGACTTAAAATTTAACCTTCACTTAATTTGGAGGAAACATTGAGTAGACCCACCTTAACAAAATTTTCCCAATATTTTTTTATGCATATACTCTTTTTTTTTTTTTTTACTATAAAAAACATGATTAGTAAATTAGTATCTGTTCGAGTGTCAGTCAAGGAGTCGATCTAATGATCATGGACTATGCTCCACCTTACTTCTCACACGGAGAAGCGTGACTACTTGGGTCACATGGGAGAGTGCTGCATATACTCTCCTGTTTAATTTCAATAGGTATAGTATTTCTTTAATAAAATAGAAATATAATAATTTTTTTGATAAAATTTTATATTTATTCTTAATTAAATACTACTTGAACAAGATTTTCAACAAACTTAATTAACTTCGTAGCAATCTCTTTTTATTAAAAGTAAAAGATCTTGAATTCGAGTTACATAATATGTAGATAGAGTGAGCTAAGAGATGGGAAAAAATTGTCTTTCATTATGTTCTAATTATCTTTTTAAAATAAAAATAAAATAAAAATAAATGGATTAAAATACTAAAAAGAGTAAATAACTAAATTTAAAAATTCTAAATTAAAATCGAAGTCTACTAAAATTTAACAAAGCAAGTTAATTTTAAAAATTTTAAGTAGTGCTTTTATATAATGACAAACAAATTTCAATTCGCTATATAAAATCATTATCTAAAATTATTTGCAAAATCAAGTACATATTTTTCTTAATAGAGTTTCATCCATCCACATGCTTCTGATTAATTTAATACTCCACTAGATATTGATGAGTGCAAAGAACTAAACAAGTATCCTTGCCTCGGAACTTGCCGGAATACCATCGGGTCCTACACTTGCGAAAACAAAACAAACAAAACAACCTGGCCTATCATTTTGGGTAAGCCCCTTATTCTACCAATTTCTATTTATTTATTTGTTTCATTTCATTTTGATTTTTCTTTGAAATGGCAATTATTTTAACCAAACATGGATACCAATGTGAAACAGGACTTTATAAAGTTTTGATTTTTTTCTTTCTTGTATATCTTATGATAAGGTATGACTTATACAATAGATAGTCCTTTTTTTTTAATCTGTTCCCACCCATTTGAAAACTTGAACTTAAGACTTTCAATTAATTTGGAGCAGTAAGTTCTTAAAGTTGTTTTGATATCCTTGGGGATCTCTTGATAAAGTCATCTTTTCTCCTTTCTTAATATTTTTAGGTATCAGTCTGGGGTTTACAGTAGTTTGTTTAGTTATTGGTGCATGGTGGTTGTCCAAAATGTTAAAGAAAAGAAGGAAAATGAAGCTCCGAAGCCAGTTCTTCAAACAAAATGGAGGGTTATTATTGCAGCAACAATTGTCTTCAACTAAGGGTAATGTTGAAAATACCAAAATATTTAGTACCAAGGAGTTGGAAAGGGCGACTGATAACTTCAATATGAATAGAATACTTGGTCAGGGAGGTTCGGGCACTGTTTATAAAGGAATGTTGGTTGATGGAAGAATTATCGCAGTTAAGAAGTCCAAAGTACTAGATAAAGAGAAAGTTAAAGATTTCATCAATGAGGTGGTCATTCTTACACAAATTAATCATAGAAACATTGTTAAGTTATTAGGGTGTTGTTTGGAGACTGAAGTTCCCTTGCTAGTTTATGAATTCATCTCCAATGGGACACTTTTCCAATACATACACGATGAAAATGAGGACTTCCCATTATCTTGGGAAAGACGATTAACAATTGCATCAGAAGTTGCATTTGCCCTTTCCTACTTGCATTCAGAAGCCACCATTCCCATTTATCATCGAGATGTCAAGTCTTCAAATATTTTATTGGATGAAAAGTATAAGGCAAAAGTCTCAGACTTAATTTGGGGCATCAAGATCAATTGCTATTGATCAAACTCATTTGACCACAAATGTTCAGGGCACATTTGGGTACGTAGATCCTGAATATTACCAGTCATATCAATTTACAAAAAAAAGTGACGTTTACAGCTTTGGAGTTGTCCTTGTGGAGCTCTTAACGGGAGAAAAACCAATTTTTTCAGAAAGGGCAGAAGGTGGAAGAAGTTTGGCCTCTCATTTCATTCTTTCTATGAAAGAGAATAACCTTTTTAATATTCTTGATGCTCGAGTTAAGAATAGTTCTGCACATGAAGAAATTATAAAGGTTGCTGAACTTGCATATAGATGCTTAAGTTTGAGTGGTAAAGAGCGGCCAAGGATGATAGAAATTGCTATGGGGTTGGAGCATATTCGATTTTTGCAAAACAATTCGCATGATCAAAAATATCATGAAGAGATTAGAAATGTGGAAACTGAAGTAACTAATCATTGGAATGTTGCCTCGACAGCTGCTTCGTCAATAGACATGGAACCACCATTTTCAACAGAATCATGGGCATTGTTAAAAAAGCAAGTGGGCTAAAATATCAAATGATATAGGTAAAGATAGACTATGTTTTGTCTGGGTGTAGTTTCCTGATTGTTTGTTATAATATTATTATGATTAGTAAAGAAATAGAAACCAAAATAATTTTAATATTACTAAACAAGTTTATAATTTTAGTTGTTAGAGTAGAAATTTGTTTTTAATAAATTATCAAATTTTTGTTTTAATTTTAGTTTTCAATAATTTCAAATTTTATAAAAATTAAAATCAGAAATAAAAAAACAACTATTGTATTAAATGGGCCTGAGAAATTTACGAAATCAAGGCATCAATTTGATTTAAATTGATTGATTGATTTAATTGTATGAATAAATTTTAGATTTTATGGAAAAAAAAATTCTTAGATTAAATATTAGGTTAAGAAAGTAGATTGTAGTTAGATTTTAAAGCCTATATAACGTTGGGAAAAGCCATATGCGAGCCTTATCTGCATAATTTTATTCACAATTTAACGTTACATGGAATAATGGATTATTTTTATTCAAAAATTTATTTACGATATTATATATTCACTCATTTATGACATTATATAAAGTTAAAAATAAAGTTGTGTGTAACTCATATAAATAGTAATAACAGCCACCAAAGGGGTGAATAATTTATATATATATTTTTTGTAAACATGGTAACTCATAATTAAGAAAAATGATTTAAGAACAAAATTTTCTTATAATTTATTTATATTATTTAATAATTAATTTTTTTCACTTTATCAAAACGCATAATATTGGATGTATTAATTAGCTTATGAATAATATATAAAATTATAAACAAAAATTATACAAATAAGTTATTCACATATGATTACCCAGTGGTTCAACCCTAATAGCATGTTTAGTATGGATGAGTATTGGCTTAATTCAAAAAATCATCTACTAACTTTCAGTTTAATTTCAATTTCATCTATTATCTTTGAATTGTTTCAATTCTATCTATTATCTTTCATTTATTTCAATTTCATCTAGGCAGTTAAAGTTAACAGAAATCCTAACGAAAATCTTCTTAAACCTTAGTACTCTAACTATGTTTCTTTTAATCTTTTAGTCCTTAAATTTATATTCATAATAAAAATAGTTTTTATTCTTATTTTGCTAAATGTGTTTTTCAGAAAATTGTTTTACAGAGTAGACTGCTTTCAGTCCACCCTGTAAAATTATTTAAATACCCTTAATTCTATTTTTATATTATTTTTGTATGAACATTTAAATAATTTTATAAGACAGATTGTATACAGTCTGTCCTATAAAACAGATTTACTCTTAAAATTTCTTATTCTGAACTTACTGAATTTCTCTGTCTGAATTACAATCTATCTCTATAAACTATTTTTTTTATTCATCATATTTTATTAGGATTTAAGTGTCACTTTTTTAAAACTCAAAGGACTGCTCTTTCTTCAAATCTAAAGGCAACCTAACATCCTTTTTGTACGGTAGACTAATTTGAAATATTTTTCAAAGTTTCTAGATCATTTAGAAATGAAACAAACTTTCTAGATTAAACTGAAATTAAACTGAAAGTTAGTAGATGATTTTTTGAATTAAGCCGATGAGTATTGGATATGAGGACACTCATTATTTGCAAGTGTCTTATCTGTTAAGGTAAGTACCACACCTATACAGTAGAAAAATGGGTAAGTAAT